ACTCTGACCCGAGCGTCCACGCTAAGGTCAGAGACTACACGAAGGCGGTTAGGGCGCTCCGTGGCTCAGATCACAATCTGAGCACTGAGCCCCTTGAGACAGAGGTGATCGTGAGGCTGGGGCAAGGCAGGAAGCACGGGCGGTTATGGATTGCAGACGGCGTCGACTCCTCGAGCTCTGCACCCTCTCTCTCTGACGTGAGGGCACGGAGCACGGCCAGAAGCCTTCCCATACGTGCACGGCCTACTCCAACACTGTCGTGGGTCGATGAACTTCAGGTAATTCCAGTTTCACTCGTCGTACATTGAACGTTACATACATTGATCAGATTTGCAATACTGAAACATGTGATTGAAACACTGCAGGCCGAGCTGGCAGAGACAAGGGAGACGCAAGTGCACCTGACCGTAGAACTGGAGGCCACGAAGAAGCAGATGGCGGACATGTATCAGATCATGCAAACCATCGGGCAAGCATCGAGTGTCCAAGTGCAGTTGCCAGCTCCAGCTCCAGTTCGACACTTCACTCCTGTGAGTATGAAAGTTTAATGCGTTCGTGCCGTTGGGATTGTCGGCCTTCGTGCCGTTGTGATTGTCGGCCTTCGTGCCGTTGTTTCTTACAGGTTGGAAACCTCCCCATGCAGGGGAGGTGCTGTCGAAATTTTTAATTTTGAGTCTAACACATGCAATCTCTTCTCTTTTGTGCAGCCTCTGTCGGCGGGTTCAAACAATCCCGCTAGCGTGTCACTGGCGGCTGATCACGTCAACCCTTCGCCACAGTCCGGTCCTTCACCGCTGTCCAGGGGGCCACACATGCAGTCTTCGTCGTCGCAGTAGGGATGTTGAACTTTGTGATGTTGAACTTGTAATAATAAACTTGTGATGTTGAACTTTGGTGCATTTGTGATGGATTTTCGATGGATTTATTAAATATGCGTGTGCTTGTGATATATAATGCATGTTGGTGATATATATATATATATATATATATATTGTCTGTTATAATGGAATGTAAAAAAAATTGCAATTCTCGGGGTCTTTGCCGAGTGCCATGGGCAAGGCACTCGGCAAAGTTTTTTTTCAAAAAAAAAATTCTTTGCCGAGTGCCTCGCCGTGGCACTCGGCAAAGTATTTTTTTAAAAAAATCCAGAAATTCTTTGCCGAGTGCCTAAATAGGGACACTCGGCAAAGAAATTATTAAAAAAAAAAAAAAAACTTTGCCGAGTGCTTGGATAGAGGCACTCGGCAAAGTAATTTTTTTAAAAAAATAAAAAAACTTTGCCGAGTGCCTGGGCAGGGGCACTCGGCAAAGTACTTTTTAAAAAAAAATAAAAAAAACTTTGCCGAGTGCCTGGGCTAGGACACTCGGCAAAGTAATTTTAAAAAAATAAATTTGTCAAGTCTTTGGGTGAACACTCGGCAAAAAATAATAGATTAACGACGGCGGCGCAGCGCTACCGAAAATATTTTCTTGAGTCTTTGCCCCAAGCACTCGGCAAAATTGTTTTTTATTTTGCCGAGTGCCCCGATAAAAGCACTCGGCAAAGACCCTTTGCCGAACGGACTTTACCAAATGCTACACTTGGCAAAGCCTTTGTTGAGTGTAAAAACACTTGGCAAAGCCACGGCCTCCGGTATATAACAGGTGACCAGCGGACGACTACAGCTTCTCCCTCCCGCGCCTTGTTCACTTTGCAAATTTTTGCAACCTGATGAATAGTACCACTTTCGTCTTATTTGGTAAATATTGTCCAATCGTGGATCAATTAGGCTCAAAAGATTCATCTCGTGATTTCCAACTAAACTGTGTAATTAGTTATTTTTTTACCTACATTTAATACTCCATACAAGTGGCTAAAAATTAATGTGATAAAGAAAAAGTAAAAAAACTTAAAATTTAGATAGCATCTAAACAAGGCCCCGTATGCCAAGCATGCAGTGGCAGACTGCCATTGCAGGTCCAGTAGTGTCGATGGTAGCAGTAAAATGCTTAGGTTTTGAACTAAACCAATTCATAATCAAGCTTAAGTTATATATGTGCTCATCAATCACGAGGATTAAAGACCATGATTTGACTCATCAGTATGTAGTGTTGGCATACTGCAGAGTGCAATACAAGGACTGCCGATTGAAGGGGCAAACTGTCATTTAATTGTAATTTTTAATAAAGGGTAAAGTCCAATTTACACCCTCCAACTTTCACCAAAATCTAAATTTCAACTTCGAATTTCAAAACCAAACAACTTTGGCCCTCCAACTCTCGAAAAAGTTCAACTTTCAACCTTATGGGGCGGTTTTGCGGGTGAACAGTAACTTTTGATATTTTTGGGAGCGCTGAAATTTTATATTGTTTTTTCGAGCATCTTAACGTCCTCAAATGAAAAAACTCAAAACTACAAAGTTGTAGATCTCATCGAGCTCTACAATTTACATATAAAAATTATCTTCATCCGACATCGTATTGAAGGGTTTTCTGTTTTTTAAAATTTGAGTCTCATCACGCGATAAAATATGGTGCTGAAATTTTATATTATTTTTTCGAACATCTTACTGTCCTCAAATGAAAAAAATTAAAACTATAAAGTTGTAGATCTCATCAAGGTCTACAATTTATATATAAAAAATTATCTTCATCCGACATCGTATTGAAGGATTTTCTATTTTTTTGAAATTTGAGTCTCATCACGCGACAAAATTGTTTCACGTGTGATGAGACTCAAATTTCAAAAAATAGAAAAGCCTTCAATACAATGTCGGATGAAGATAATTTTTATATGTAAATTGTAGACCTCGATGAGATCTACAACTTTGTAGTTTTGAGTTTTTTTTTGAGGATGTTAAGATGCTTAAAAAAATAATATAAAATTTTAGTGCTCCCGAAAATATCAAAAGTTACTATCCACCCACAAAACCGCCCCAGAAGGTTGAAAGTTGAACTTTTTCGAGAGTTGAGGAAAAAGTTGCCCGGTTTTAAAGTTCGAGGTTGAAATCCGGACTTTGGTGTTTAATAAAACATGGTTATAGCTACGGCAAGGTAGACAAATGAAGTTAAGTCATCCTTTTGTTATTTTTTTCATACTGGTCGTATCTAAGCATGAGGATTTATGTTCTCTGAATTTCTTTTGGCACTTGACATATTAAAGCAGGCTCAAAGCCTTGAAGGCAATTTTGGACACTTGACACTGGTAGTTTCTTTATTGAGAGAAATGACATTGAAATATTCTAGAAAATTCAATCGGATTCGGAAGTGTTTGTTACAAATATGATCTTGTATCTCTGATTTCTTAACTATATGTTATTTCTGAAAAATCAATACCACTCCATATGACTTCACATCATAAAGTACAATATACGTGCAAAATAGAATGATTACTATGGTATTTATTTTAGCTTGGCTGCTAAATGTCTCGTGTAATTTTTTGTTGCTCTCATTGCAAATTAATTAAGAAGAGGGATGAAGCTATCCTTTTATTATATGAGAAATATGCTAGGCAAAACATCGAATCCAAGAAGCAAGCTAATACAGTACTCCCTCCGTCTAGGAAAGAATGCAATTTTAGCACAGTGTTATGGTTTAATATCCTAAGTTTGATCAATTATAGATAAAAAATATCAATATTTATGATATCAAATAAATATTATTAGATTAACTACTAAATGTATTTTCATAATAAATTATTTTGAAGCCGTAAATGTGAATAGTATTTACTAGAAATTTAGTCAAACATAAACCACTTATGCTGGCATACAACTCGTAGTTGCATTCTTTTCTAGACGGAGGAAGTACATGCATATGAATATACCTAATATAAACCTTTGCAAGACGCTGGAAAAAGCACTCCGTGGGTGCCACCCATGAGGAGAGCGCACCGGGGGTATTGATCTGTCCTATAGAGATGCTCGCCCAAGTGCGACACGTCTTAAGTGAAGCATGAACGGCCCGATGTTGATTCATGCAACGCCCATGCATCTTTAGCCCCAATCAGCAGAGACTTGACAGGTTGACATTTTCAAACGAGACTATGAGAGATACCTTTATGTAATTTACTATTGCAAGTTGCAACACTTGTTTTAGAGCTCGTTTGGGACTATTCGCTCTATCTTTTCTTGGCTCCTAACTTTACTAGCCAAATAGAGTCAATTCTACAAACTCTACTAAAAAAATGAATTGAGAGCCAACTCCAGTTGTTTTGTGGAGCATCTGAAGGATGTACTCCAAAAACTCAATTTTTTATGGAGTTATTGTATGCTAAAGTTAGTGAAACACAATGAGGCCATGTTTAGTTCCCTCCAATTCCAGAATTTGACACTATGTAAAAAGAAGATTCCCCGTCATATCAAACTTGCGGTACATGCATGGAATACTAAATGTTGACGAAATTAAAAACTAATTGTACAGTTTGGTTGTACTTTGCGAGACGAACGTTTTGAGCCTAATTAGTCAACGATTGGACAATTATTACCAAATAAAAACAAAATGGTACTGTATCTCCCCTACCTTTTTCCTTTCACTGTAGTGCGGTTACTATTCACGGAGCCAGTGAAGCTCGAATTTCTGGCTCCTCCGGCTCCCGTTCTGTGTGAACAGTGTAGGAGTCGAAGCCTCTTGAGCCGTACCAAACATGTTCGTACGAGGCCTGAGTCAATGACACAAGCCCTCAGTGCCGTACAGTCAACATGGAGTGCATCCTCTGACTTGACTCTGAGAGCCACAGGTGACAGGTCCGCCGTCCGCCCGTCCGCGCGCGTGCGTCCAGTGCACCGTGCACGAGCCACCAAACAATGCGGCCCGGCCCATCAGGAGGTTGGGGAAAAAAAATGCGAGCAAAGAGTAGTTCGGAAAATTCTAAATCTTATAAAAAACTGAAAAAGAAAATGGTATTGCGGTCTTGCTCTCCTTCCTCGTGGTCGGCGGCCGGAGCAGCTGTAGCCGCGCGCGCCTCCGCAAACCCTCCTCCTCCTCGCCCATCCTCGCCTCCGTCCCATCCCAGCCGCAGGGTCATGGACTCTGCTTCCGGCGCAGGCCGCCGCCGCGTCCGAATCGCAGTCGTCGGCGACGTGGTACCCTCCATCTCTCTTGACAACCATGCACTCTCTTCCTTAGGAAGGAGGGGACACCAGACATATGGGTTTGGTACGGGTATAGCCCTTTGTTATCCCATGTTGGGTTTCAGGTTCAAGGATTAGAAGCGAGGAGACAAGAGAGGATTTGAGAACTGGGGTTCTGAACATTGACTTGATTGTTGCGGTTTTGGGGTCACTGGATGATGCAAGCCTCAGTAGGGTTCGTGGATGGGCGCGGGACTCAGGCGGTATTTGATTTCTAGAGTTCCAGTTTAGAATGTTTGAAATGGGGAGATGATTTCCTTTGGCCCTTGAGCCTTCGGGGTCGACAAATTACATGGGTTGTGTTTCCCCCAAATTTGAGCATGACCAAGCATAGAGTCTCGGGCGGATCCTTTGATTCCATGTTCTGCTGATCAAACACAAAGCTTCTAGTCACTTGGATTCCTCTCATGGATATGATTTAGGAGGAGTGAATGACTTACTTTTGTGGCTTGGTCAGAGTCAGTGTTAAACCATTAATTGTAGTAGTAACAGAATAACTTCTATACCATTTATTCTTCTGGGCTTAAAATTCATATGATGAGATCTCTGATCGTGTGCTGTACTAATTTATTGGCTTTTATGTGTTGATCCTTGCAGCACAATGATTGGGCCCTTGAGGAAGATTCAAAGGCACTCCAATTTCTTCAGGTATTGCATATTGACCTTTCAGCTTTCTGATAAACTAGTCCATTGGATATCTTGTTAGGCTGTGTACACTTCATATTTAGCTTCTCTCTTCTCTCTACTTCTATAGTTCTACAATGTGCTATTGTCTAAAATATGTCTTATTCCATATGCTTTCCATGCATTTGCAATACTTCCACGCACAGTAACATCAGAATTGAACAGAAAATATTTGTATCAACATCACTGTAGGAAACTCTTTTCCTCAGAAACTCTAACTTGCTCTCTGTAAAATGCAGCTGGATTTAGTGCTTTTTACAGGTACGCTGCTTTCCAGATATTTTCTTTACTTCATTTTTTACTCAATTATTCTGTGAAATGAATTATTGGTGTTTGCCATCTTCTGTTTTCCTTTTGCTCCATATATGGCAGGTGATTATGGAAACGAGAATGTTGAACTTGTCAAAAGCATTTCAGATCTTCAGTTACCAAAGGCGGCAATTCTTGGCAATCATGATTGCTGGCACACGCATCAATTCTCAGAGAAGTAAGAGTCATGATTTCATCTTGAAAGGAGAAAGTACTAAAGTAATTCAATTTCTTTTTATGTCATCATGTACTTGGTTGGCATTCAGGAAGGTTGATCGTGTTCGGCTTCAGCTCGCAAGGTAAAGATATTCCTGCCTTTTGCAATAAGCTATGTGTTTAATTGTTTATTGCAATATTTTGCTAGGATAGCAGGGTTTTTTTAGGAAGGAAATTTTGTTGAAGTAGATGTTGCACCTTGTAGATTGCATAATTGATGTTATGCTCTTCAGCTGTCTCGCACTTGATCACGGCCACTTTAAGAGTTTCAGCTTTATTGTTTAGTAGTTTCTTTCCTCTTTACAACAACAACAACAAAGCCTTTTAGTCCCAAGCAAGTTGGGGTAGGCTAGAGTTGAAACCCAGCATGGGCCCCTAGTCACAATTTCTTTCCTCTTTAGAAGAATGAAATTGGAATAATACTGAACCCAATTGGAAGTTAGTAGAGTAAAACTGTACTAGCCTTCTAGGACTAAGTTAAAAGCCAATTCTTGGCCTAACTACCTGATGGTACTCAACCAGGTTATAGCCATGTAGAATGATCCTGGGGTTAACTGTCTTCGCTCTTCACTAGATTAATATACTTTCTAGGCTGGAAAATGATCAATAGTACTTATATTTCATTTCCTTTTTCTTATTAATATCAGCCTTGGTGAGCAGCATGTTGGATACAAATGTTTGGACTTCCCATCAATTAAGCTGAGCGTTGTTGGTGGACGGCCATTTTCCTCTGGGGGTGATAGGCTATTTAGACCAAAGCTTCTGTCAAAATGGTTGGTGAGAGATATGATAACTAATAATTACATATGCTTGTTAACTTTTCTGTTTTGTACTTTGATATTTCTTTTGTCATTTCCTTGAATTTATTTTGAGATTTTGTAATATTCTTGGAATCATGGATTTACAACTTATCACCCAAGACGGAATAAACTGTAGGAGTTATTTTCTCACCAACTGCATTTCATGCATGGTATTACTCCCATTTTCATGTATGTGTCTCTCAGCTGCAGGATTCCAAAGCATAGTCATACAATCTCTTGCACATGTTCATACAGTTGTCTGAATAAATACTAGTAACTTAACTGATGGAGTGATGGGGGTGGCTAACCTCCAAGAATAAGGAAAGCGATTGTTTCTTGTTTTTTTTTTTAAAATTCCATCAAGAGCATTCACTGGGGTCTGTCGGGGAACCTAAACCAATCTGGATCAGGATTTCGCAAGAAATAAGAATTGATGCCTTGATTCAATGTTTTGTATTGTTGAGATCCTAGTTGTATCACTTGACTGGTTATCAGGTTCTTTTTGTAGGCTGTAGAATTACAACTGGAATGACCTTAGCTGATAGGAAGCTGGGTGGAATGGTGATAACTGATAACTGGTACCTGTTCGATTTGAGTTGGCTCTTGTCCAGCAGTGCACTATAGATTGATGCTTTTAAGGACTGAAGGCAAATTTTATCTTTAGAAGGATGGCTACCTATGACTGGATGCACACAGTTTGTCTGCTCGCTTGATTTTGATTGTGGAGCTAACTTTTTTGATTCACATTCATACATCACTAACTATGATTAACACAACTCATCCCCAAAATTTATCATTTATCACTGAACTACTCTTCACCTTTTGTCCATGATGTTAGGACCAAATGGTAGACTAAAATAGGAAATTTGCAGCTCTAACTAAATCGGCTACTATTTGGTGTAGTCAGTTACAGTAGCTCTTGGAAAATTTAGATCTATGCCTGGTTTTATTGCATTGGCAATGTATGCCACTGCCTTCTTCATTATTGCATAACTACTCTCCAGAAAATATAGCTTCACTTCTTTCTTTTTTTTGCGAACAAATATACTCACTTCATGTCACACAATATTCTCGTTTCCTTCTTTTCCTTTGAGGAGGTTTAGCCCTTGTTGATACCTCTAGTTTTGATCCATCTTCACCAATCACCATTGACCATTTACTATTGTTACCATACCTTGTAGTTATGGTGTCAATGATATTGCTGGAAGTGCAAAGAAGATATACGATGCTGCTGCAGGTGCACCAGAGGGACATTCTGTCGTATTGCTTGCACATAATGGACCAACAGGTCTCTTAACATTTGATTGAGCAAATTTCATAGGTAGTTCATGAAACACATGAAGAAAATGTTTGAAGTCATAACATGACTATACAATGCTGTGGTTATGCAGGTCTAGGTTCAAGAATGGATGATATCTGTGGGCGGGATTGGGTACCTGGTGGCGGTGACCATGGCGATCCAGGTCTGGTGTTCATGTCAATACTTTCCCTCTACTTACTTTGCCTCTCCTTCACACAGCTACTTCATATGTCGCATGCTTGAACAAAACTATGTAGATCTTGAGCGAGCCATCTCCGATCTGCAAAAGGAAGCCAGAGTTTCCATCCCACTGGTCGTTTTTGGGCACATGCACAAGAGCCTAGCCTATGGGAGAGGCTTGAGGAAGATGATTGCCTTTGGAGCCAACCACACCATATATCTGAACGGAGCAGTTGTCCCTAGAGTGAAATTTGCCCAAACAATTCCTAGGTTCAAGCAAAATCAACCTGAAGGATCGGGATCCATAGCTCCAACATTGCGCGCATTCACCATTGCTGAGCTCTCTGAAGGGCATGTGGAGAAGATCTCCGAGGTCTGGGTGCTGGTGAGTGGCGCCAGGACCGAGGTCGAGGAGGAAATCGTCTTGTATAAGCATCCTCGAGAGCATATGTGATGCTATGTGACGAAAATGTAACTGTTGTGAATGCTGTAAATGTGCTGGGGCGATGCTAAAGTTGTTTAATGAGTGTTACAAAATGGCTTGTATGCCAACTAAAAGCAGCACTTTATTATAGAGCCTGGAACCTAATGTGCTTGTTTTTGTCTGCGATGTTCTGGTACGGCTTCTACTTTATTACTAGCAAAATGTGCCTGTGCTTATCGAAAATGTAATTTTTTGCATGGTCATTTAGATAATTTGTTACTTAGAGATTTATTCAACGATCATGATTTGGTCTTGGTCATTTAAATAATTTGTTACTTAGAGATTTATTCAATGATCACTAGTTATTCTAACGTTTTTTAATCGAATTTATACTGTCGTTAATATGTCTTAGAATCGGACTCTTTTTTCATCTAACATTGTCTTGAGTCTGGGACACGGAGGAGTGGACAGAATAAACGAGAATGTCGCGAGTCTGGGACATGGACACAGTGGATGAGAGCAGACGGATGACAGAATCGCTTTGCTCTTTAGCATCGTGGAGATAAAAAAAGAAATGGATGAAGAATCACTTTGTTCTTTAAGAGATTGATTTGGTATAGATAGATATAGATTTAGTTTTTTTAGAATTTTAGGGACGAGCCCCCGTCTATTAACCAAGGGTCAACAGACAAGTTTGTCTTATTACAGCCCAGCAGATGGTGATACCATCTGAACACAGTTTAGAACACAGTTCACTCAAAAGCTACTGCAAACTCCGGAAACAGAAGCTACTAAACCACTTTACAGAGAAACAACAGAACCGCTATAACAGAGCCAAAATTTAACGCCAGAGCTTCAGACTTGACGACTCGATCTTCCGGTCAGTAAGAATCTCCCCAGCTCGGCACTTCGAGTGCCAGGTTTGCACACATATTGTCCTCCCCCACCAGCAGTTGGCAGGGTTTACTTCCAGAGAGTAGCTTCCGTCTTGATCAACAACACTTTTTGTTTGAGATCTTCCTTCTTCTCCTCCGGGCATAAGATGATCCAGTTTTGCAACATCACAGCCATGTTGAAAAGGAGTATCGCCATACTCCTCCACATTTTTCTCTGAAAACATAAATCATCCCTAAGCTTCCAAAGGCTCCAAACAGCAGCAGAAGTACAAATATTCAAAACTCCATTACGTTTATTACTTAACCAAAACTTCCCTATATTGTCTAAAGAGTTCCCCAACTGGATACCGAAGATACTCGAAAGAACCTCCCAAAGTTGTTTAGCAACCACACAGTCAAAGAACAAGTGGTTAACTGATTCCTGCTCATTACAGAAGAGACAAGTAGAATCTTCTACTTTCCTTCTTTTACCAAGATTATCCCTCGTCAAGAGCTTATTCTTACTTAGTAACCATAAAAAATACTGTACTCTAGGAGGTATCTTAATATCCCAAACTGAAGAAACTAAAACTGGTTGGATGTCTCTGAAATTGATGATTTTGTATAAAGACTGCACATTATAAATACCCTTGGAAGAGAACTGCCAAATCATGGAGTCTTCCTCCTCACTAAATTTGATAGTGGAGGCAAGTTGACAAACTTCCTCCCAAAGTTCCAGCATATGCACATCACCCATTCTTTTAAAAGTGCATTTCAATTCGACTCCATCCCACAAACTAGCTACTGAACTGTTTTTTTCATTAACATGTCTATATAGCTTCCAATACTGAATGGCTAAACTAGAGGACCCTAACCAATTATCTTCCCAAAATCTTACTCTTCTACCATTCCCAATAATCCATCTGTAACCCATCTTAGCTGCTTGAACAGCCCACATAAACCCCTTAAAGAAAGGGGAACAGATTTTGCTTGAAAAATATTCACATTGCTAGTGCTGTATTTAAAATCTAACACCTCTCTCCAAAGTTTTTCCTTATCCTGCTCATACCTTCTTAGCCAAGAAGCAAGCAGGCAAATATTTAAATCCCTAAGATTAGGCAGCCCAAGGCCCCCAAACTCCTTACTTACAGAAACTAATTCCCAATTATCTAAGTGATACTTATGGGCTCCTTCTAAGTCATTCCACAAGCAATTACTCATATGAGTATTTACGATTCTTATAGCCCATTTAGAAAACTTGATAAAAGAAAGAATATAGATAGGAATACTAGCCAAACAAGTTTTAACTAATAGAGCTCTAGCAGCCAAGGATAGCAATTTCCCTCTCCAACCTGCAATTCTATGAAGCAACTTATCAACTAATGGCTGCAGCTCTTCTCTAGATAACTTGTCATAATGAAGGGGAACCCCTAAGTATTTCAAAGGAAAGGAACCAATGGGACAGTTAAAGATACTAGCTACTCTCTGAGTGTCCTCCTCTTGTAAATTCAAAGTAATTATTTCACTCTTATGAAAATTGACCCTCATCCCAGAAATTTGTTCAAACCACATGATCACATGCTTCAAATTATAAAGATGTGAAAAGTCCGCACTTGAAAAAAGGATAGTATCATCTGCATATTGCAGAGATAGAATACCACCTTCTCTAAAATCCTGGAGGACACCCTGAATAAGTCAGATCTAGCTGATTTATCTAGCATTCTGGAAAAAAGCATCCCCCACCAGATTGAACAGCAAGGGGGACAGAGGATCCCTCTGTCTTAACCCTTTACCAGGCTTAAAGTAAGGGCTCTCCTCTCCATTTACTAAAATGCCTAAAGAACCTCCTGTAACCAACTGCTTAATCCACTGAGTCCACTTAGTGGAAAATCCCCTAGTTTCTAGTACTTCAAATAGGAAATCCCAGCTTACTCTGTCGTAAGCCTTTTCATAGTCTAATTTTAGTACTACCCCTTTGTCCTTTGATTTATGTAAACTATGTACTATCTCATGAGAACAACAACACTCTCAAGAGTGTATCTACCCTTAATAAAAGCACTCTGATTAGTAGCCACTAATCTTTGAGCCACTTTCCCTAATCTATTGGTCAAGAGCTTAGAGAACATTTTAAAACTACAATTAAACAAACTAATGGTCTAAATTGTTTCATATTACAAACATCATTAACTTTTGGCACTAGAGTCACTAAAGCAAAAATTAACCTATATATATCTAGCTCTCCTTTATAAAAATCAGCAAACATAGCAAGAACATCCTTCTTAATGGTATCCCAAAATTTCTGATAAAAGAGAAATGATAGCCCATCAGGTCCAGGAGCTCCCTCAGGGTAACAATTAAAAATGGCCTCTTTAATTTCCTCCTCAGAAAATGGAGCAACTAGGAAATCATTTTCTTCTCTACTAACTTTTTGGGACTCTTCCCAGAAATCATCACTAATGCCTTGTTCGCTTGGCTGATAAGCCATAGCTGAAAGTATTGTTGGCTGATTTGTTGTGAGAGAAAAATACTGTTCGTTGGCTAAAAAAGTACGGCTTATAAGCCAAGCGAAGGGGCGTAAGTCTGATATCACCTCTATCTTCACAAGCAAATAAATCTTTATAAAAACCTACAGCTATATTCATCATCCCCTTCTGATCAGACACATGACCAATAGGGCTTTCTAAGTAGTCAATTCTTTTTTTTCTACTTCTATAGTTAGCCACCGCATGAAAATAAGTTGTGTTCCTATCCCTTCTAAAATATCCCTATCCCTAGACCTTTGTCTGATTTTAATCTCCTCCATCCTCCAAAACTTATCAAGCTCAACCTCTAACTGTTTGTACCTAGTTCATTCAGACTCATCTAAATCCCTTTCTTCTAAAGCCTTATCTAATATATTATATTCCTGAGACAGCTAGACTTTGGTCTTATTATTAATAGCTATCTGATTGGCAGCCCACCCTCTAACAAGTCTTCTAAAAGTTCTAACTCTGAACTGCCAAATAGCTATACTTTTCCTATCATTATGAGACCAAGTCCAAGCCTTCTCAACTACTTTCTTAAAGGATTCCTCTAATAACCACCATTTCTCAAATCTAAATCTTTTTTTACCATAAAAGAGACTATCCCCTAAGTCTACCAAAATAGGATTATGATCACTAGGAATTCTATCAAGAGCTTTCACCCTAGCCAGGGGGAAAACAACCTCTAACTCAGTTGACATAAAAACTCTATCTAATCTAGCCATGACCAAATTCTCCTGATTATTGGTCCAAGTGAACTTCCTGTTCCTTAACTCCAACTCTACTAAACCCCATTTGCTTACCCAATCATTAAAAGGGTCTACCCACCTAAAGTTTACATTACCATTACTTTTATCAGAGATAGATCTAACTAGATTTAGTAGATTGACCGTAGGAGAGATCTTTTGAAGAGAGATGTTTCTCCGTTCAAAGGAGAGCGCGTCAGTGTGACAAACTGACAAGTTCAAGCGCCCAAAAACGTGAAGAGAATCCCAGCGACTTTCTGGTTGCTATCCGGCAGCCGTTTTGGGCGACTTGTCGCGTGTCCGCGTCCACCCCTCTCCGTTCCTCGGTTTCGTGGCCCGTTACCCCACCCCGCTACCCGCTCCTCTGCGTGGGCACCTGACGCCGCGACCCCGACCCCGAGCGGGCTTTGCCGGCCAATCGGCTCGCCCGCGCTGACCACCGCGTCGGCCGCCGCGCCTCCTCTCCTCGCCGAGATCACCTGAAAAGGCAAGCGACGCCAGCCTGAACCCCCCCGAACCAGAGAGAGAGAGAGAGAGAGAGAGAGAGAGGTCATTTCGTCTTAGGATCGCAACCTGCCTGCTCGCGCTCGGTCGCTCTCGCCCGCCCACTCGCCTGCCTTCGACTTCCTCCGCTCTCCCGATTTCTCCTCCGATTCCTTCGCCGACTCGTTTCTTCTTGGCAATTTGTTGCGCGGGCCATCGCCCCGCCGGCGCCTGGGTACAGCAGCTACAGGGCAGGCCAGGTCCCTCTTCTAGGAGAGGCCTCGCCCGCCGCCTCCCGCCCCGTCTCTACGGGCGCCGTGAAGCGGAGATCCATCCGGACTTGGATCGGTCTCGTCTCCTGGTAAGCAGGCCCAGCGTGCTTGGATGGATTCTAGAGCCTATACAGTAGTGATTGTAGTTATTATCAATCAAATCCTTTTTCTCGCTTGGGTTCAGTTCAGTTGCGGATTTGTCTGCGGCGTGGTTCCGTACTAAAATAATCTAATCCAATCATCCATAGTTCGAGTAGGTTCTCTATTTGGACGATAAATAATCTGTTGAGACTTACACAATTGAACTTGGCACCCAAGTGCTGGTGCAGTTTGTTTCCCAATAAAAATTGGTGGGGGTCCAATTTCACCCATTCTGATCTCACCATTCTTTTTGTGTGTCCTAACATTTCGGTATAATTGCAGATAACAGCTATTGTTCTATTGCCAGTTGGAGCAATATGGGTTGGCTGACCAAGTTTTTTAGAGGCTCAACCCACAATATCTCGGAAGGGCAGTATCACAGCAGGCCTGCAGAAGACGCAGCATGGAACGAACCCTCTAGCTCTCCTGTTGTCACTGTAAGAACGTTATGCAATACACTACTGTTACCATTTTATGTTTTTGAACAATGCCATGTGCTGGAGTTCCTCGGTACATTCCTAAACTCGAGTTGAGGATAAAAGGAGATCATTCTATTTATCTAGCTTAGGCAAAGGAGATGCAGTTGGCGTGAGCTCCAAGAAAACTTGTCATGTTCTTGTTATTAAGAAAAATGGAAGCTCTGATGTATACAATGGATAGAATTTTGTACCCCAGTGACTTGAAAGGACAGCTTTTTTACTCCTGCTGCTATAAATATATACCACTATGTCTTGTCCATTAGAATTTTCCTTATATGGATACTAATGTTCGCAATGTTTTGAGATTGATGACATGAAAACAAAATTTTTGCTATTGCTTGTGGTGGTTGTGGCAACGTTGATGCTTCAATCAATATGTACATACACATCAGCCAATTTCTGGGCAACTATAACCTTCTAATAAGGTTTTAGATGGCTCCAAGCGACCAATTACTTCAAAAATACCATATGCCTTTGTTATAGCCTTCTAAGTAATAGATTGATTATCTCACTGATCAAATATTGACATGCAATGTAGGACATCCTTTCAGAGTTTAACAATGAGGATATTGACCATGCTATAGCGCTCTCTCTATCGGAAGAGGAGCAAAGAAAGGCAAAGACAATAGGTTGGTATGCTTTCTTATTAATTTATGCCGTGACATTCATCCAGGTTCTTAATGTTTTAGAGGAATTGTTGCACTTATGTTTACCTATGATGTGACATTGTTGAGGTACTTAGTGTTTTAGAGAAGCACCTATCTCCCATATTAACTAGTACTTAAAAAATCCTTTGAAGCCAGTCCACTGCATATGATGATAGTACGTTCATCAGAAATCTTTGCTTTAGGATAGTTAACTTATTGCTGTTCATTGTTTCTGATCTTGTCTAATTTTGATAAAAAAAGTGGTTTTCCTTTTCCATCTTTAAGTGGAAAAAGTTTGTTCTAGATTTCTATGGATTTTGTAGGTAAATGGGAACATCAGGTCACAAAAAGATCCATCCATAAGAAAACAAGGAGTTATCTTATAGTTAATTGTTTTTTGTGGAATCATTCCTTCCAATCAATATTCTTACTTTTAAAGATGGATTCAAGAATCTTTTCTCCAATTTCTGAATTGAGCATTAGTGTGTTACATAGTAGTGTATTGTGTTCAAAATTTTCTCTAAGACTATTGTTACTCAATTTACTCCATGTCTCTAGCACTGCTAGTTTTCTTATGAATTCATGCAATTAATGTGTGACACTTTCTGGTTTAATTTGGTTCTACTTCTAGATAAGGATATGCATTTGGAGGAGGATGAGCAACTTGCAAGAGCTATCCAGGAAAGTTTGAATGTTGAATCACCCCCTCGCAGAAATGGCAGTGCCAATGGTGGCACTACATATCATCTGCCTCGCGAAACTGGCCATGGTGGCAATGCATATCAGCCACCTCGCGAAAATGGCAGTGCCAATGGTGGAAATGCATATCACCCATTACCATTTATGTTCTCATCTGGATTCAGGTTCATTTCAGTTTGGTTACTTTACTATTCTGGCTTTTGTGCAATTTGACTTGTTGGTTATGAAATAGCAAATAAGCATATAACTGAACTGATATTTTAGTTTACCAGAAAGGAAGTACACTAAATGAACTCATGGACCTTACAGGCTGCATACTACTGCTAAAAATAGCAAATCTTATTTTGTTCTACTTCTACCTAAAGCGGATGAATTCATTCCCTGTACCACATTATGTTTAATGGCTTACAAACACTGCTAATCACAACGAGATAATGTGTATTGAGTGAGAACTCAGACCAGCAGACTTTTCAATGGGTGCAGTCATTTCGTATTAACGAAACTACCTAGGACTAGATAATTTTTTGTTAATAAAATATCTGTAGAAATTAAAGCCGAAGAGGAATCAAACTGTACATCCCACACCTCCCACCAACTGAGCTATGCATTTCTTCGTTGGAAGGAACAGAGAAAAAGCGAATATGGGTGTCTCCACTTTTCAACAGCTAATATAAAGTCCCGGCCTGGCTTTTCCCCACTAACCAATTACGTTACAGCCACTGAACAAACTTGGTTGTCCTATCAGGAAAGTTCCAGTTGAGTTTGCATATTATGTAGTAAAGAAGCCAAAGGCATGATGGCATAATTATTTAGAAAAAAACAAATCCCACGCAGCTTTAGGTATACAACTGAAATGTTTTTATCTGATTTGTGTAGTGTGCATGTTATTATGCCAAGTTTGGTTTCCTTATCTTCTCTTCCAGTCTTTAGGAAAACTGTTACAAACTGTGGTTGAATTTAGAGCTCAGATGTAAAATGAAAGCAAATCTTTTAAAGTTGATGGGGCCTGTGGTTAGGAGATACCTTATATGTAGAAGGATGAAGCATGTCCTCAAGGATGTGGTTGCCTTAAACAGAAGTGCCTTGGACATGTGAAATTTTCCAATTGCTATCAAAAGAATAAGAAATTGTAGATGTGTGAACTTTCAAATGCTGTCAAAAGAACAAGAAATTGTGTATGATTTTTCACCTCGATTGTAATAAGAAAGACACTGTAATGCTCAAGAATACACTAGGATGATTGGCATGGAAGATATCATTTTGACCTTTTTTTCTCTTTCTACTATTTTTAATATAAAGTGTACTTTTCTGCAGAGCATGCGCAGGATGTCACAGAGAGATTGGTCATGGGCGTTTTCTCAGTTGCATGGGAGCTGTTTGGCATCCGGAATGTTTTCGTTGCCATGCCTGTAGTCAACCGATATATGACTATGAGGTTACTTTTTTGTTAACTTTTTAGCAGTTTCTTTGAATGTACTGACCTTAAAGCCATGCTGCAGTTCTCCATGTCCGGGAATCATCCATACCATAAAACTTGCTACAAGGAGCAGTTTCACCCAAAATGTGATGTCTGCAAGCAATTTGTAAGAATCACTTTATTTACCCTGACTGATCTGTTTATGCTATAAGTTGTTTTTGTTGTACATCTTACATGCCTGTTTGTGCTAAGAAAATCTGCCTCCAATATCATGGAGAATATGTTTTCTCTACATTTTCCATGATTGACATGTTTACTCTTGCTAATATCTGATTACTTGCATGAATTTGTTGTAATTTTTTGCAACTACCAAGGCTCGGAAGCTTGTAGACTTACACATTTTAGTTAGCTGATTGATTATGTTCGCAGTAAGTAGAAAGTTGATTATGTTGACTTCTATTTTTGGTTTTCATATGTGCCATCTTATGGTTTCTTCTTTTCAGATTCCTACAAATATGAATGGCCTTATTGAATATAGGGCACATCCTTTCTGGCTACAAAAATACTGTCCCTCACATGAAGTGGATGGTACTCCGAGGTGCTGTAGTTGTGAAAGAATGGAGGTATGCCCAGTCAGCACGTTTTTCTTTCTTAATTTGGTCTTGTGGGCATATTTCATGGTTAGAAGAGAGCCTCTCTGTGTGAAATTTGGATCAATTCATTCCAACATGGTTCGTTTACTTACCAGCCAAGGGAATCAAGATATGTATTACTGGATGATGGTCGTAAGCTCTGCCTGGAGTGTCTTGATTCTGCAGTGATGGATACAAATGAGTGCCAGCCTTTGTATCTTGAAATTCAGGAATTTTACGAAGGACTGAATATGAAAGTGGAACAGCAGGTTCCTCTGCTTCTAGTAGAGAGACAAGCTTTGAATGAAGCCATGGAAGGAGAGAAGGCTGTATGTTTACTATGCTTAAACCCCAAAATTTCCTTTTCTACCCCACTGTACTGTTAGCTGTAACTATTTTGTTTCTTTTGGATACAGGGTCACCACCATCTTCCAGAAACAAGAGGACTGTGCTTATCAGAAGAACAGACTGTTAGCACGGTGAGAGTTTTTCCAAACACCAATTGGATTATTCTTTCCTCATTTAGTTCATGTTCTGTTCCAATTTTGTTGTTCTGCTGGATTCTGAATGAGACAATGATGTTTTCAGATACTGAGGAGACCAAGAATGGCTGGAAACAAAATTATGGGAATGATAACAGAGCCATATAGGCTGACACGGCGATGTGAAGTGACTGCAATTCTCATTCTGTATGGTCTCCCAAGGTGAAACATCAACCTTTTGTTTTGTATAATGTCATAATCAACACCTCCTGACCGAAACAATAAGCACTGCTGCCCCAGCTTTAATCTCTACGTGCATGGATGGTCTACTGATCTTCGTGTAGTTGTAGGTCTAGTTGTGCATGTGTGGTGTGAGTGGGGTGTGCGTGAGTAGCGTGTGTGTGTTTGTGCATGAACAGCTGTACCCAGATGAGAGGCTTCCAAAAAAAAAGTTGCATGGAATTGGAGATGTCTGGACCATGAACTGACTGCACAGTTCATGAGGAAAATAGTTTACTCTTGTCCATCATCACAATATATTCTCCTATATGATATGGAGATACTATGTTGTTTTGTTTGCTTCTATATCGTTGAATCATTATGGATGCTCAAATTTGTTTGTATAGACTTTTATGATTTTTTGTTCTTGCAGATTGTTGACAGGTTCAATTTTAGCTCATGAGATGATGCATGCATGGTTGCGACTTAAAGGTGATACCTAGTTCTTGTGTTTTTCCTCGGACCAAAACAAGGGAGACCTATTTAGATCTGACACATAGCAACTAAACTACTCCCTCGGTTCCAAATTAAGTCGCTTTGACTTTTTTGGTTTATCCATTTTGCTATGTATCTAGACATAATATTATATCTAGATGATAGCAAAATGGATGTACTAAAAAAGTCAAAGCGACTTATAATTTAGAAGGGAGGGAGTAATCTTTTAGTTCTAGGCTAGCAAGGACATTAATTTGTTTTCAAGACTGAACAAGTTTTTGTTAGCCAGTGCTAGTGAACTTGTGAGGCTGCCATGTAAATAGTTGGGACTCAACTTTGGTGTCACGGATAATTACTAACTAGAAATAAGAACGCAATCAATGCTAATTTCACGGTGAAGAAAATTTTGCATTCATTTGGCAGTTGTCATAATCATTTGCCTACATATCCTATCTACTTGAAACTGTTACACAGACATTTCTGCTAACGAACATGTCATGACAGGATACCGGACACTGAGTCCAGACGTAGAAGAGGGCATTTGCCAAGTTCTTGCTCACCTGTGGATCGAGTCAGAGATCATGGCCGGATCAGGCAGTAGTGCTGCTTCGTCATCCTCAGGATCTTCTTCATCCACGTCATCCAAAAAGGGGGGGCGGTCTCAGTTTGAGCACAAGCTTGGGGATTTTTTCAAGCATCAGATCGAGACGGATACTTCCATGGCCTACGGAGAGGGTTTCAGAGCCGGGAACCGGGCCGTTCTTCAGTACGGCCTGAAGCGCACCCTGGAGCATATCCGGCTAACAGGGACCTTTCCATTTTGAAGTGGCATCGATTCACATTTTAGGAAAGCTTATATTATTATATACATGATTGTCATCCAGAGTTCCTTTACAGCCAAAGAAACCAACTGTACAAACATTCTTTCCAGAATCCAGAGATATATCTTTGAAGGGCAAAATGAAATATTAAATGATTGAGATCGATGGCCAGCCTGACCAATCATTTTGTATTGTGACCAAACTCTGGAACGAAAACAATGGTATTTTTTTTATATGGCATGAATTTCAATAAATAGCAGTACCATTTTACAGTATATATAGTTGTTTTCATTTGTGAACTTATTTGGAGTTATTCCCTCCGTTCCAAATTATAAGGTGTTTTAGCGTTTTTAGATATATCATATTATTTGTTACTATGTGTCTAGACACATGTATATTTAAATATATAGCAAAAACTATATATTTAGACACATCTATATTTCAGAATTTTTATATGATTTCATACAACATTCTTGTACTAACAATTAGTATAAGTAAATTGTCACTTTTGTGGTTTGTTATTTGTCTTTGTGTCATAACATATCAAATTTTTATCCTTGTCTAACTACAGAAATAATTGTAAGCGCTGCAGCCATCGGATTCGGCAGAGCAGTAGAAAATCTCACCGATCTTGCCGGACTCAGCCAGCCGGCCGGTCCATAGTGCAGACAGTACTGTACGTGCCGGCACGCTGTTCCCGGCTTCCTCCTGCCTCTCCCTTGATAGGCGTCGGCCTCCCCATTGGTACATGCCTATTGCACTTGGCCGGATCGGTAGGGTTTCAGCTCCTACCAAAATCGCTGGTGCTACCGGTACAGTGCAAAGATAGATCTCATCTCATGGTACTAATCGCAAAAGGCATATGGACGCATTGGTACCTGACCGATGCTACTGCGCCTGGTAGAATCTACTCGTAGAGGCGTACTCGATGTGGCCTGGTTCAGCAAGAGAGCGCGTGTTTAGTTAGAGGAAAGTTGGAAATTTGGTTACGTTAGCATTTTCGTTTTTATTTGGTAAATAGTATTTAATCATAGACTAATTAGGCTGAAAACGTTCGTCTCGCAATTTTCAACAAAACTGTGTAATTAGTTTTTTTTTCGTCTACATTTAATGCTCTATGCACGTATCGCAAGATTTGATGTGATGACTACCGTAACACTTTTTTGGAATTTGGGGTGGGAACAACGCGCAGAGCGAGAGTGGGTGAATCCAAGCTACGACAACGGATGGGGGCATTTACGATATCACGCGGTACTATACTTTGTACAGCGAAACAATAAAGATGGGAATATGCGGGGGGACAGGAGCTACAAAAATCTCGAGTCTCGGAGCATGCATCATCCTGCCGGCAAATTCCTCCGCCGCGAGCGCCTCGCCGGCCCTTGTCGATCGGCAGCGCAGCGCACCATCAATTCCCTCCGAGACTCCGATGCCTCCCTCCAGTTCCCCTCCGCTCCTCGGAAATGACGACCGTGAGAAACGGGCAGGGACGTGCGTTTCAGGCGTCGCGTAGCGCTGGCGACCCCAGCCCAGGCCCAGACGGCAGCGTCGCAGGCTGTCGTGTCTCGTCTGGCGGGCGTGGCAGGTGCTGGGCAGGGACGGGCGGATGGCGTAGGCGGTAGGCCAGGCCGGGGCGCCGAGCTCGGTGTGCTGTGTGCAGCCAGAGCCCAGAGCGAGCCGGCGGACAGGCCGTCAGGTGCTGCACTGGCAACTCGGCGGCCAGTGTGGGTGTGGCACTGTGGCGTGTGGCCACGGCAGCCCGCGCCCGCACGCGTCAGTACGGGGGCGACAAATTCGGCAGGATCCGCAGTTATTGCCGCCGTTACTGCGGAAGTACTTTAGCAGTGGCGGGTCTGCGCGTGAGGAGGCAGCATTCAGTCCGGGCAAATGCGGAGTTAAATGAACTGGAGATCCTCTCGTTTTGACCCCCTGCTCCATCCCCGGCTGCCCCGCGCGCGAGTGTCGCGCCACGCACGGCTCGCCGGTCGGCGGCGGTGAGTTCGTGTTTGGTTTTTACTCTAAATTTTGGTTGCCGGATGTTTGATACATGAAGTATTAAATATAAATTAATTATGAAACTAATTGCATAGCTTACGATTAATTTATGAGACGAATCTTTTAAGTATAATTAGTTCATGATTTGACAATGTAGCTCTAAAGTAAACATGCGCTAATGATATATTAATTATGCTTAATAAATTCATCTTGTGGAGTACTACGAACATCCCATATAATATCCTCACATGACATCTTCTAAATTTTAGTCACCACATTCAAACACTCGTGGTTTGAGTGAGGCGCGGAATACGTGTGCTCCTACTCCTACCTAGTCCAACCTAGCTACTACAGTGTAGTAGTAAATGCTGAGAGCGATCCAGAGCGGGAGAGCGATCGAGAGAGACAGAGAGCGATCAGGGGCGGATCGCATGGTCCTTGATGGCTTGATACAAGAAATAGTACATGCATAGCAGCATGGTACGCGTCTCCGGTACCCCTGCGCGCTGCCATGAATGAATGCATACATACATGTACGTCTCTGACACACGAATTCGAAAATACTAGCTTCTTCTGAAGAGATGACTGATGATCTTGATTATTGGCCTCCTGAGCTTCAGTTTCTGCGTACAGGTGCAGCCCGGCTGAAAATGGGTTTGCTCTTTAAAAACGCGCGCGCATTCCCCTATATCAAATCTTATACCAAAAAATGTAATTCTCGATATACGCAATTAATATTTATAATATCAAATTAATATCATGAAAACACAATTAATATTTATAATATCAAATATTATAAATATTAGTTGTGTTTTTATATATAATTAGTCAAAGCTAAGATACATTAACTTGGTACGGTGTTAGAGTTGTACATTAGCTAAGATACAACTCTAACACCGTGCCAAGTTAATGTATCTTAGTTCGACTAATATATATATATAAACACAACTAATATTTATAATATAAAATAAATATCATTACATTTGTTATGAGACATCCTCCTAGCTCGCTGGCGATCGCCATCCCGCGTTGATGCCCTCATCGCCTCTGTCGGTAATGAGCGAGGCGAATACGACGAGACGAGAAGGGGAAAAATGAGAGAGTTCAGAGGTCGGGGGGTTGCATTTTAAACATTAACAAGCCCTCTTCCTTTCCACGGTGGCTTGTCCACATCATCATCTAGACACTTGTCCAGACCAGATTGGACCAGAATAAAACCCGAACAATGATCAAGGGGCTAAATATGCAACTTGGGAGTTTAGGGAACATGAGCTAAATATGCAACTTGGGAGTTTAGGGAACATGATGACACACCCATACAAGTTTGAGTTCCGGCCATGGATTTTACTCTTAATCAAATTTATAGGAAAAAATAATAATAGTCACGACATCAAATTAGCATCATTGGATATGTTATGAAGTATATTTTTATAATTTGCATCTTTGATGTGGCATATGTTAATACTATTCTATATAAACTTGGTCAAATTTAATATAGTTTGAGTTATTAGAATAAATTTGGATCCCTTTCCTTTTAAAACAGAGGGAGTAGTTTCTCTTTTTTTAAGGGAAGTTGCTCTTATTTGTTGATCTAGCTTGGTCCACCTTGTTTCTTTTTTGATCGATTACAACTTGGACACACACAACACACACTCCACACTTACACCACGAGTGCGCGGGAAATGCACAGTACCACCGAACGTGCACCTGTGCATGTACCCTAAATTTTCTGGATTAAAAAAAAAAGGTGCAACACCAGGTTTTGAACCCTGATGGGTAGTGTCCCATTACACAAACATACATTGGACCACAGGCCCATTCACGGTCCACCTTGTCTGTAGTCGAATCCGAATCCCACAGTTACAAATCTGACATATATATTTGACTCCTATAAATGTACATCGATCTAACGTCATATAAATAGCATTGCTCTTCATTTCAAAGCTTCCAGGTAGGTTTCCGACAAATTTGAATGGTGGTCAATGTTTGTGGTGTTTTTCACCTCTCTGGTGCATATATATCAGTGTTCCGACAAAAGCTGCGTGCATGCGTTCCAATCAATTCGAATCCCACACGGCGACACTCTGAGGGCCTGTTCGTTTGGTCCCAAAATCAAGGGGATTGAGAAGGATCGAGGGGGGTTAAATCCCCTACTAGTAAAATTCCCGTCCAATCCCCTTCAATCCCTTTGATTTTCAAAACAAACGAACAAGGCCTGAAAAGGACCCCAAATTAGTAACAGGATACATCGATGACAGTTCATTAACCATATGCAAATCTCTCGCACAGTTAGCACGGCCGGGTACGAAGATATGAGATGATATCGATAGGCCGGCCGGTCTGTAGATTAAGCACGATAGATCTTTATGCCGTGGCCATGCATATATATACGGCCTGTTCGCTGGTTGGTATCTGGGTTGATTTAGGCTGGTTGGTGTTGGTTTTTTTGAGAGGAAAACACTGTTGGCTGGTTGAATAAGTCTGACTGAAACCAACAAGCGAACAGATGATAGATCGATCAACCATCGTCAAGCGCGCGCGCACGTTGATGTTTGTTGGAATATATGTGTCACTTTTTTCCCTGGGCCGGGCGGGCGTTATGAAAAGCTGCCACGATGCTGGAGTAAAGGTAGCCCTGGGCTTATATATGATGTTGATGATGATAGCTTTGGGTTTAATGCATCTGCGCCATGTATTATCAGGCAGGCGAGAAGCCGAGAATCTTAACAAGGAGACGGAACAAGAGCTAGAGGTTAGCGACGAATATACATAGATCCGGAGTGAGAGAGTGAAGTGGTGGACAATAAATATAATGTACTTCAGTCGTTCAGTGTCGGGAAGCTATAGTATGTAAGTAGCATATTTTTCTCTCTAAATATACGTATGTCGAAGAGCTGTACGTGCACATTTTTAATTATTTGTATTTGTATCAATTAACAAAAAAAAAAAGATCGTCATGCAATCCAGCAAATGCTTTGCTTGCACAATGCATGCGGATTGGCGCGTCC